CCGTCCTGTCTCCCCGCCCAGAGCCGCCCATGAGGATCGTCAGCTCTAACGAGGACGCCGCCCACACCTACCTGGCCTCGGAGCGCGTGGTGCTGGTGTGCGAGCTGTCCCGTGCCAACGGCCCGGTGCAGTGGTACAAGGACGGGGTGGAGGTGGAGGAGGGCGAGCACCTGCTCCTGGAGCACGAGGGGCCCCATCGCAGGCTCGTCATCCCCTCGGCCCGGCCGCAGGACACGGGGGAGTTTGTATGTGACGCGGGCGGCGACTCCGTCTTCTACAACATCTCGGTGACAGGTCAGTGGATCCCAGTTCACTGGCACAGGTGCTGTGGGTCTCTGTCCGTCTGTCTGAGGGGTTTCTATAGCTCTGTCGTTGCAGTGTCCACACGCTCAGCCCCTTTGCCCTCTGTCCCTTGGTCTGTCCAGCTCTTTCCCCTCTTTGCGCTTTGTTGTTCTGCTCTCATCCTCCCTAGACACAGCATCTCTTGTCCTCACTCCCCTCCTGTTCCATCCGAAAGCTCCTAGTCACACACACGCATTCCCTCCCCATCAGCTGTCTTCTGCTGCAGCTTCACTATCTGGGAGCTGAGATTAGCTGGAGGGGCCCATCAGGAGCGGGTGAGGCTGGGGATTCGGGGCCTGGGCTTGCCAGCTCTGCTCACACTGAGAGAGATCACTGGAGGGAAAACATTTTATTGCTCTTTGCTCTGATTTACTCCATTGCTATTAGTCGGACCTCTGGGACTTGCAATCCCTCCTCTCCAGCCAGCGGTTAACAGAGCGCTGTGTGGTGAGGGGACTGGGCTGGGGTCTTGCTTCTGTACAGGGAGGTGATGGGAGCCTGCTGCCCTTTGTAAGATAAGCAGAGGGTGGTCTGGCCACGCAGTGGATGGGGGACCAGTGAGAAAGGACCAGCTGGTGCCTTCGGTGACTCAGTAGATTGTGCTGGTTAGGTCCTATGACGGTGTCCCCGGAATAGATATGTGGACAGAGTTGGCAACGGGGCCATTTAAGGATCTGGGGCAAAATCTGTCAAGGACAGTACTTGGTCCTGCTGTGAAGGCAATGGATTCAATGATCTTCCAAGGTCCGTTCTAGTTCTATTTTATTTATTTGGTAACCCTCAGTGGGGTCAGAGGGTAATGGCCTGTAGAATGTGGTGTTAGAGAGTTGTCTAGCAGCCTCTCGTTCATATTCCAACCTATTCATGATGGTGACAGCACCTCCTTTGTCAGCCTTTTAAACCAGTAGGAGAACACTTCAATCTCCCTGGTCACTCAATAACAGACCTAAAAGTGGCAATTCTTCAACAAAAAAACTTCAAAAACAGACTCCAATGTGAAACTGCAGAACTGGAATTAATTTGCAAACTGGACACCATCACATTAGGCCTGAATAAAGACTGGGGGTGGTTGTGTCATTACAAAACCTAAACCTAATTTCCCCAATACTAATTTCCCCCCTACTGTTACTCACACCTTCTTGTCAACTGTTTGAAATGGGCCACTTTCATTACCACTACAAAAGTTATTTTTCCTCCCTGGGTATCCTACTGTTAATTGAATTGTCTCGTTAGACTGACCTCTGACTTGGTAAGTCAACTCCCATCTTCGGTTCTAAAACACAAAGCACAGGCTGATCACTAGTGGGTGTCCCAGCCAAATTCCACAGGGAGCAGGAGGAGCAGCTCCTTGCACTCCTATGGGTAACGTCAGGGCCGGCTCCAGGCACCAGGCACCCAAGCTGGTGCTTGGGGCGGCACCTGGAGGGGGGCGGCG